CTCACACCCACCAGACTCTGCTCCCGCTCACACCCGCCAGACTCTGTCCCGCTCCCGCTCACACCCACCAGACTCTGTCCCGCTCCCGCTCACACCCGCCAGACTCTGTCCCGCTCCCGCTCACACCCACCAGACTCTGTCCCGCTCACACCCACCAGACTCTGTCCCGCTCACACCCACAAAAGCTTGGCATATTTTATGCCGCCCCTGCCTGCATCTTCTAAGTTTCGCCTCACTCCTGAATACAATGAAAAAATACATTTTGTATGTTTACTTTTGGGTGAAGAATAAAAACAAACCTGTAGCTTCTACAAGCAGGCTATGTTCAACTTATAACAGTGAAAACACGTTACATTTTTCACAAAATAGTAGGCTAGTCCTACACGTAGGCATATTACACCTACAGCGTCACCTACACGTTTGCAATAACAGTCTATGGACTAGGCTACTAAACTGGGCCTAGGACATTCCCTGATAACTTCCACATAGGAGATTCAGTGATGAATGCTTCAGAATGCTGCGCGTCTGCTCCAGCATACATCCACAAATGCTGAAGGGTCTTTCCGACGGTGGACTGGAGACAGGGACACAAAGCCCGTGGCGAGCAAGTTGGCTTAGTACTGGAAAGTCATCACTGTGGTTCTTCCACCACAAGAGAATATTTTGGGGTTGCTGTGCTTCAGTTGTATCCAGCTTAACGTTTAGATAGTCCTAGATCTCTGAATACAAAAGTATTGAAATGCTGCTCTCCATGGTACCTAAATGAGCCCCTTCCTGGAACTCGTGGAAAATCGCCCTTTTGGCTGGGACCTCATGGTCATCATTTCCAACTGTAACGTGAAACCCCAAGTCATCAGCCATCTCTTTCACCGCATTGATCACACATTGCTTCTCATTTTCCACAAGCGTCTTCAGTTGCTGCAATTTCAGACTGAGAAATGTTGCCATTTTGTACAGCATATGGATGCTATTTGATTTCAAGCTGATAGGAGACATCAACTCGTCCAGACGTTGCACACACACTGATGCAATTACAGTCAGCACAGGGTCGACATTGACTGCTGCACAATGACTTCACTGTCCATGAAAGCACAACAGAGGCACTTAAGGCAGTATTGCCCAACTGCAAATCATTCATTGCATCTTTAAATGGTTTCCAAAAAGACACCAAGTTTGTAAGCTTGTTTTTGTTGATGTATCCTATTTAACCATACTGCTTATTTTCTAGCAGGACTGCTGTGTTATCATCATACTGCTGCAATAGTGAATCCAGCATGTCGACATCCGAATTTCACTGTGTCTCCGCTGACTGTTTTACAGACTTATTCAGCTTGGCTTATATGTCAGAATATTTAAAATATGTGACCAAAATTTTCACGTCACTTACAAGCTGAGCATCTTCATGTGCTTCATCCATCATGGCCGATGAGACGTGAAAGAATTATGTTCAGTACATGAATACAGTCGTCCCTCGGTTATCGCGGTTAATCCGCTCCAGACTCTACCGCGTTAACTGATTTTCCGCGAAGTAGGATTCTTTATTTCTTTATTATTCGGCTGCACCTGGCGTTGAAGGATTTGCGGGGGTGCTCGAATACATATGCCTACAGTCCATACGTACAGTAATTTTAATTTTAATTGTAATACAGGGGTGTATAATTGACTCAGACAACCGAGCGCGCGCTGTATCATTTTCACTGTCTATCAACTTTTTAATGAATAAATGTATTTGAAAAAACCGCGGTAGAGTGAAGCCGCGAAAGTCGAAGCGCGAAATGGCGAGGGACGACTGTACTGCAGTTGTCTTATGAATTACCGTGCAGTGCAGCAATCATGTTTGCACCTCTGTCAGTGACAAAGATCATTTTCAAAAGGTCATGTATCTGCACAAACAAAATCCACACATTCTTGTGTTGTTTTATTTTCAGTGCAGTCGTCACTTTTGATTCGCTTGCTTTTAGCCCTGAAGTGCCAGACTTGTGCCGAGTGTATGATAGCACTTTTTTGCATGTTACAACAATCAGAAAGCAAGTGGTTCCCCTCCTCATCTCTGACAATGGAAAACGGCTGCCAGATATTTTTTGATCTGGATCTATGACAGCTTTCCTTAAGCAGAAACTTGCATCCTCATGCATTAAAGATTTTCCTGCCGGCTCTGCCATCCTATGCCAGGTGGCCAAACGAGTGATAAAAGACTTTCATAATGGGAAAGAGCTCACATCCTTCCAGAAGTTCGGGGATAGGCTGGCCGGGTAAAAACCCGATTAGGCATAGTAGCTTGTTTTATTCTGTGAAATTTTTTATGTAACTTTCTATTTACTCAGTAATATGAGTAACAGTTTGACAAAATGTAAATACATATTTATCCCACCCAGACAACCATCTATAGCAAATCAATGTCACTTAAACAGCTTCTTCACCTGCAATAATGCTGATCACTCTGTCTTGCATTAATCTTCACATTACATGCTCTGTCCTGGAACTCTGTCCACAAGCTATCTCCAAATTCCTGGACTTTTTGCTTATTGCTGCTGTGTGTGCACATCTGTACTCAATACATAACACTATTTATTTGTATTTGTATATACTGGGGACCCGGATCTAATGAAAACTTGTTCCATACTCAAATTTATTTTGGTTTTTTTTTATTTTATTTTTCTTAATTTATGTTCTGTGTTGTCTGTGAATGCATGCACCAATAGTGCCAAGAACAAATTCCTAGTACCTGCAAATATACCTGGCTAAAGTGAATTCTAATTATAAATATTTCTTACATTTGTACATTTTTATATTATATAGGCTTAACTTAAATATGTTGTTAAAATATGTATTTTTAAATTTTATTTAATGTGATTTAATCAAAATCGGCATTATGTGCAGAATTATGGACAGAATTATGATTAGAATAGCTGATATTGCATATTTTGATAAATACTTGCTTTTGTGCCTAAGAGACAACAGACTCGTAAAATACATGTATTACTCAAGCAGCGCCTTGAAGAACAGGAGAGATATGAGAGTTAGCCATGTTTATTGTGGATCATGAAACCTTTCAGGAGAGATGTAAGATCTGTACCTGGAGAGAGTTCAGAGTCAGAGGTCACGACCTTTGGTTTGCAGATAGGGTTCAGAGGAGCCAGGGAGCGCTTGGTGCTGAATCGGGGCAGAGCGAGCCTGGAGGGGATGGTGGACAGGAGAGGGTGCACATCGCCTGAGACGTAGGACCTCCGAGCCTGAGCAGGAGACACAGAAAGGCAAAAACTGCAGCTGGAAGAATTCCCAAATCACAATTATATAAGCCTAAAAATCACAAAGGGAATCTATATCCTACTGCGGCGACGGGAAGAGGGAAAATGGAGATTATGGGATCTGACATTTAAAGTCCCAGCACTGCCTTCTCCTTCTCTGCTCTTGATAGCACCAAGTTTGGGTTTGCAGTAAAGGTGAGGCAATGGGTGTGGCAAGAGATTTGAAGGGAAATGGATAGATATGAAAGGGACTGAGACTGACACCCTGCTAACAATTTGTCTGGTTTAGTTGCTGAAATTCATCTTAAAGATGAATCATCTCTCACGAGTACTTTCCTTTCCATGAACCTTCAGGCCGAGTCAAATACCTTTGAAATTGCAAATCCCTGCACATCTGCTCTACCATGTTTATGCTTTTATGACATTTCTGTTATGTTTCATTGAAAACATGATAATAGTTTGATTCCTAAATTTGCTCTTTGTCTTCAGAACATAATCGCTTAATGTACAGTTCACAAAACTCACTTAAAACAATGCTATGAAACAATAGCAACTGCGGTAATGTTAAAAAAGAAGAAATGAGTAAACAGCAGAATGTATGACAATGCTAGCAAACAAACTATGACTGACAGGCAAACATAGTTTTCAGCATTTAGGAAATCTGCAGTCTCATTTACTATTTCTCCTTTAGTTTGCTACACAAACAGAGGAGCTATAGTTTATCTGTGAAAACCACAATAAAAACAGACAATTCTGAAATTAAATATAAACAGTACCATCTGGAATCAAACAAGAAAAACACGATCCTGTTTTTTAACCACCCCGTCCTTCCTGTGAGATTGTGCCTTTTTCGTTTTATTTGCAAGCAGCGGTCATCCTAGATTCATATCAAACGGTTGTGTTGTCACTGGTGTGTGATGTTTAGATGATGGAAAGTCAAAGGGAGGCATGGCAGCAGATGCCTGGATGCCCTTGCGCAGAGACACATTTTGCAGGGTTTTTGGCTGCTCTTGGCTGGTTCCCAAGACCACACTGTGCTCTTTGTTGAGACGCTGGCGCTGGTGATACATGGCTTTCGGAATGCCGGCACCGATGTGGCTCACTGCACAACACACTGATTGGGATGCTTTTTCATACGCCTCAAGAAAAACATTCGTTAACAATCTTTGTTGACGGTGCTCACTCAATAGCTTATTATACGTTTATCATCCTCAAATCTCAGATCACACAAGGCTCCTTGCAAATCCTCAGAAGAATTTCAGCCTTCCGTATCATTACCTTCCATCTGTTAGGGCCAAAGGAGGCCACTATTAGCAAACAGAAGGAAATGCTGGTTATGAGGAATCATAGACAGGAAAGACGGAGGGGCGGCAGAGGATTGTTTCAGAAACTGGAATACACTACAAATTCCATAGTTATTGCCCAGAGCCTGAGGAAACAATAATATTATTATTAATTTTATTAAAATATTAATGTCAAATATTAATGTCAAAAACCCTATCCTGGCTGAGATTGGTCTTCAGCACACCTATACTAGTGGCCAAAATTGTGGAATCACAATTGGCGATTCCAGAACTTTATTCAACTGTTGGTCCAGTTCCTTATTTAATAATCCAATGTATGATATTTGTAACATTCCTTAATTGTTTGTAAACATTACTGCCAATATTTGTGTAGTATTTTTTAAGGCATAATGCCAAAAATACTAGGTGTTTCCACAATTTTGGCCACTAGTGTAAATACAGAAGACACTTAACATCCTCTGTGAGACTGTGGAATGTGGATTACGTCGACCACAATCCCATCCGTCATCGATTTCAAAGTTTCATTTCTTCCATCGTTAACTTTAAGTAGCTGGTCTTGGTTATATAATCTATCTGTGCAGTCTACTTTGATGTGGCTATACGGAAAAACTGTAAGACATTTAAAAATTGATGTACATTTAGTACATCTCGTCAATATCCCAATTCATCTGTGCAAATATGACACATATTCTAAAAAGGCCAAATGACTATATAAATAATAGTTTGATGTATGTGTGTAAGTGTGACTCTTGCACTCTTGTTTTAGGATTGACCCACTTACAGATTTAGTCACATGTTTTCAGGAATGTAGGAGATAATTGGATAATCTGGAGGAAGAACCTGCAATACCTACAGGTATAGGGGCATGAATTAAAGCATTTTAATGCCATGATTCCATGTATCTTGTTCACAGAGAGTCTGGAGCCTCAGGAAATAGAGGGTTAGGGTTAGGGACACCCTGGATGCCAGTCCATCACAAGGAAATTTACAAACACAAATATGAAAGATGGATGGATGGAAAGGATGGATGGATGGATATGAGTTTTTACCTGCTTTCTGCCATAAGCCACTAGAGGGTCTGCAAGGTGCCACTGAGGAGAGACGTGATGCTCCGCTCCATGCTGGGGGTGTGGCACCTTAGTGCTGACATCATCAGGTCGCAAAGGCGACAGTGCGAGGTCCTCAGAGTATAAGATAAGGGGCCCCCTCCTGGTGCTGTAGGTTCTAGGGGGTGCGGGTTCCCCTCCTGTCCAAACATGACCGCTGTGGGACAAGCGAAGCAGCGCTTGTTGGGATTTCCAGTTGAAATAGTCCTGATAGAGAAAACAGGACTTTCAGTGCCCTTGCAGCAGGGAAAATTACCCCCCGAGTGCAGTGTGAGAGTTGGGAGTCTGCAGATTCTCTATTTTTCACACTGCTGAATAAAGATCATTACAACATCTTGCCATGTACATTATGGACAAACAAGGTTTAGGCATTACCTCAGGCTCCAGGCAGACCTCAATCCTTCCACCAAAGCTATCTTCTTCTACCTGGACCATCTGGCCACACCCCCGACTCAGTAATGATAGAACAAAGTCCTTCATGGTCAAGGGGCCGAGTCTTTCTGGGAGCACATGAGCTGCATCAACTACCCTCCACCTTCTGGGAGTGCACTAGTCCAAAGGCTTTCTTTCCCTTCTTTTGAAAAAAAAAAAACAGGTTGTGAATAATGAAGACTGAGTTTATTTGTTCCCGTTGATGAATACTCTATTAATCACAGCTGCTGGGGCAGTGAAAGCACTGACCTCCTGGTGATGTCCTTTTAAGATGATCCTTCAGTCTTCAGCAAACAGACAAGTTTTATCATTGCTAAGTTAACATGACACTCAACCTTATTCATTTTAATTTTATTCCTCCTGGTTTGCTTCTGTGGAGTATACTTTTAGTTCAAAACAAAATTATCTCAATATACAGATGAAAACAAGCTTGGAAATAAAGAAATAAACAAGAATAACTGGCATAAACATAGTGTTGCTAACAGACAAACATGGAGCGAGAGCAGAATTTTTCAGAGTTGGAAAACGGGTCTGGATAGAATCACTGTGATCTGGACCACCCGAAAGCATAACCACTGTTGAAAGACCACTCTGATAATCCTACCTGATGCATCTGTTTCATTTCCTTCCAAAAGGATGCTTTGTAAAAGGAAAAAGTGCCTAATTTTGAAGAAACTGGAGAGTAAGATCCATGTTTGTAAAACCCTACTGTTGCTATGTCCCACAAACTTCCTTGACTGAACACAGAGTGTGTTTCCCTGTTGCTATGGTAGCAAACCTGAAATACCCCCCCTACCACCCAATAATCCCCACAATATTCTTATACCGCCGAAGAATACATGAGACTAGGCAGTGATCCCCTGGAGGGTTTGCCTTCTCATCAGCAGCTCGCAGTGAATTCCTGCATCTACGTTTGTTTAGCACTGTACAGTTGCTCACTCTTCCCTGTAATTTTCATACAATGGAGAAGAACTGTCCTCCATTTCGGATTACGCTGTGGTTATCCTCAGTCTTGGTCTTAGCTCGTATGCCCCCGCATCGCCATTCACCAGGGGTGATACTGCAGTCCAGCTTATACGTCGTAAAGATCAAAACAAAACTAATGACGGGTATCTCCTGCTGTACTCAAACCGCTAAAACTCTACCTTCAAAGACAAGTTTTGGGGAAGTTCCCAAAGGCAGAGTCTGTACAGTCTCATGTCTTACTGTGTTGATCAAACAGCTCACACAGTCCAAACAAACGGCTGACAGTGAATCCAACAGGACTGGACATTTTCTTTGAACACCGATCATTCTGTGTGTGTAGACAGTGGATCTACAATCTGGTTGACCTGCTTTGGATTACCTGCATGGACTTACTTGAAGTACAATACAATCAGTGTATTAGTGGCAGAGAATTCTGTCCTATGACTGAGCTCCACTGATGCATTACAGCCATTCTCACATATAACTGTTCTGAACCCTCAGTGCTATACTCATAAATGAAGCGATTACTGTAAATACTCCTAAAAGGAGAATTTTAACTTTATTGAAGACCCCCTGGTCTGTTGTGTGGCTCTGTGGTGTAGGACTCTGTGTGCGTGATCATAGGGTCACTGGTCCAAATCCTGTGAGCGGCAGAGTGATGTCACCACTGGCCGCTTTAGTAAGGCCCGTAGCACCAGCACAGTGGCTTACCAATTGTATTTTGCTTTGGATAAAAACGTCTTCTAAACAAATGATATAAGTAATGCTGATAGATAAATAAATAATACAAATAATGGAGACAATGAAAGCAAATGTAATATATTTTCTTCTGAAAGTTGGAAAGCCATTAGCTTACCTCTACCTTAGCATTACCTTACTAACTCTGAAGTGGAACATAGGTCTGTGAAAATCACATTTACCTGAGGCACAGGTTTGTTAAGACTGTAGAATTGTTTTGCATGGCAACTTAGGGACAGTACAGCAGAAACAAAGCAAGGGACAGCAGATATCTCCATGACAGACATCCAACAAGCAAACTCTAGCAAATGCCATGACAGAATATGACATATTTTTTCGAAAGACAGGAAAAATATAAATACATTTATGTCTTATTTATTTGAACATGCGATGTAGCTCAGAAATACATTTAGGCCAAGATGAATCATACTGGCTAACTTAGCCCTAATGGAGATTACCCCATTGACATTGTGTTTGACTGAACTACTTCAGCAAAAGACTCAGGGGCAGCAAAAATTAAAGTGTGAAATGTCTAGCACCATTTGGTGTTTGCTAAACCAGCATAAACTGCTGAGAAAAAAACACCTCCCCAACACATGATCAATACAAACTTTTAAGATAAACAAACTAGCCTCCTATTTATAGATTATTATGACAGTCAGTGGCACAAGAGAAGCACAAAGTTTTGTAGACAGAGTATGTATTAGGATTTCTGACATTTGTGCATATATCTTACATATCTAAACATTCATATATCTAACTGTTTTTTTCTGTACTTTTTTGACATATTACATAACTAAGCAATTGTAGTTGCACAGCAATTGTGGCATGAGGTCATTTCAAAAAATTAATTTCAATCCCTCAAGCAAAGGACAACCCAAACTGGCTTACAAATCATTTGTCAAGTCTGTGTGCACAACCAGACAAAACTGGTTTAATTTTTATATTGTTTTCTGTATATTCGGATGGAAAAAACATACATGCAAATACACACAATATGCCTGTGGAGAAAATGGCTTCACAAATATAGAAAATAAGATCACCCTGTACAAAACAAAATCTGACCTATAGGTGGCACCATTGTCGTAACTTTTTTTTTCATTCCTGAGGCGCGTATGGGGCAAGTCAGTGCCGTGTGTATGTCAGGAAGTACGTGCGAAACAGTCTCCCCTTTAACCAAAATGTTTATTAAAATCTACCTAATGGAATACTTAGACAACAAAGGTACTTAAGCATTTACAGATTTTATATTTTTATGCTGTTAACATAGACTTTTTGGACAGGTTACATTAAAACTCCCGTAAAATTATATCATACTATAGCAGCGGTTTTCAATCCTGTTCCTGGTACCCCCCCCCCTTCCAGAATGTTTTCATTCCAACCCTACCTTAGGCTTATTTGGCCTTTAACAGGCTAATAATGAATGAGGCTGGTTGTAAGCAGTGTAGGTTGGAATGAAAACATTTATTTATTTATTTTTGGGGGGGGGGGGGTGGAACCTGATTGAGAACTACTATACTACTGCAATTATCACTTAAATATGATTAAGTAAAAAAATAACACTGTAAAGTGAAAAATATCTTCGGAAGCAGAGCACACAAAGCTGGGATACACCATGGAGTGTCTTAACAGACATGTTCAGCCATGACAGTGATGTGACCCTTCACATTAGATAAATCTTATGAAAGAAGTTAGTTAAAAAAATATGCAAATATGCATATGAAATGTAATGTGTGCCAGTTTATAAACTCTCTTTAAACAGGTAACAGCTTCGGTTCTGGAAATGGCACGAGATTAAAAAAAAAACAGCACACTGTTCTCCTGACCAGACTTACATTGTAATAAATGGACCTTGTGGCTAGCATGCATGCTGAGAGACTGCTCTGCAAATTGAAGTCATCTCTCAGTGCCCACCGTGAGATTGCCTTTGCCTCTTCTCTCTCCTCTCTCCAGGAGCACATGCTAACTCCTCCAATCCCTCCACCTGTTCAGTCACTAGAGCTTATTTGCTGCAAAGATGCTGCAGGCCCACCCTGCTTCCATTAAAGTGCAGACCTCCATTTTAGCTGAGCAGAATGGTCTGTATCACAAGGGCAGCATCATGCTTTTGGGGGGCTGATGTACAGGAAGCTACTTTGGCCCCATTTACACCATCTACCATCCACCGTACTAAGAGGTTAAATCAGTCAATTAAGGAAATGACAAGATCGGTGTAATGCTAAATGGCTACAGTAGATCAGTACCTAAACCCAAACATTACTGCCACACAACAACGTCTGAATAATCTAAACGCTTATTTTATTGTTACATTTTGAAGTGATCAGTAACCTAATTCCCCAAGATAAAACAGATGCTGATGTAAAACAAACAATTTTAATTAAACTGTAATACTAATATGCTTGAATATTGGGGGTTGTATTTGGGAATACTGAAATTACAGATGCTAAATGTCTGTTTTGTAAGTATATAAGATATGTTATTGCTCACAATTAAATTTGCTGATATTTTCCATTGCATAGCTGATGTTTTCACCCAAATAAATTTTTACCTGTTTACACAGCTGGACATTTCACTGCATAAATCCTGGTTAGGTTCCTTATTAACCAGCTCCTTACAGTGCACCTACTGTGTCTTGAAACAGACACCCCCATCTTTATAAAGCTGAGTCCTTATCTATGCACATATTTAAGGGCAGACACACAATCAATTTCAACTCAAGCACCGAGAGATGCCTGCTAATCTATTTCTAATTCACGTTGCTACATGGGTACAGGTAACTTTAAATTTGATGAGGAAAACGATATGCTTCAGAAAGATCACAAGTACTATAAAGTTTTAAAAATCTAATCATTTTATTCAGTGAAACTGTACAGATACAAGAGAGCTCTTACTGTATTTTAAAAATCAAGTAAAAAATGCAATAACATTTATAAATACATTTGTAGAAAACAAGTATTTACAAAAATGTATACAGTAGCAGCTTGAATGACTTCATAGCTGTATACATGCATACAATAGTACCCAATCAGACTACAAACAGGGCCTCTGCCATTCGTGCTCAGTTACAAGGATGATTGTCTGGGAGTGGCTACAAGATATCAAATAAACTGGAAATATTAAACAAAAAAAAGTGATAAGGTAAACATTTTGTGTGCAAAAATATGACGCTGGGGACTCGACTGCACAAATAAAGTAATAAGTGAGGAAAATACTTCGCTGTTAAAATCATTCTGCAATGCAAAAATGCACAGTACTCAATTTTGTACGTTTCAGCAATGTTACAAAACAGTTTCAGATTATAAACAGGGACTTTAATGGCGAGAAGACCGACAATACGAAGGATGAGCCCTTGAAAAACATTCATGTCATCGTAAATCAATCACGTGTAATTCAGTCTCATTCTACAAAATAAACCCTATAGCGGCAGTCATTTTCTCTTATAAACAAAACGGCAGTTCAGCAATGAATCGGAAATAGTCAGGTATTCGTTCATTTGCATTGATTTAAAGAGACATTTCGTCCTATTTACCAGTAAAACCTTGGGAAGCAGCTCAAGAGTAACTCCCGACGTTGAAAGGATCTGAAAGTGTTCGAGGAGTCTGATCGACCAAGTTTAACCGGATCACTATGAGTACCGATGACTGCAAGGGAGTTCCGAGTTTTCCCCTTTTATTCCGTGTCGACTTGCGCCAGCTCCGCTATCCGTATGATCATACGGTCGTCTCGCCTTGGTTGCTGTTACTTAACCTTTTGTAAAACCTGCGCCACGACTGCAGCGTTTTCCCGGACCATATCCAGAATCCGGAGGTAATGCCCACAATCATAGTCATTAGGTACTTAATCATGAACACGGTAAAGTCCGGGGTCATCGGCGCGAAATTGTTTACGGGGCAGGGCACGGCGAAGCGCTTGCAGGTCTGCATGTGCCATGTCTTCTCCCACTGCTCCCTAAACGCCTGCTCGTAAAAGTAGCACGCTATTACTATGGTGGCCGGGACCGTATACAGCACGCTGAACACACCGATCCG